TACCCTGTATGAACAAGTCACTTGGTTGAACAATGGTTTCAGAAGCTGGTAAGGAGAGATATCATCATAATTGTATCCATCTTTCTAAAACAATAAAACAAAATTATAAAGTTCAACAACAAACAGTGGTGTGGATCTTTACACCTTATGATAAGAAATAAAATGTTAACACTTTAAAGCTTCTTTTATAATAGCACATGATACGGTTCTTACTGAAATATATAGCATCTGTATAATAATCACTTGGGTAATTAAGTTTCATTAGAACAAAGATAAATATCAAATATTTTACAGTTAGGCTTGCATTTTAGCAGTCAACAGTTCATTTGTAAATATTTACTTTTAAGAAGTCTGTAATATTATGTTTTCCTTCTTTGGTTTAATAAACATTTACTATTTCCTGTTTATCATCTACATGTTACCTACAGCTTAGTTATCTAAACTACCTATATCAACAGTAACATATTTTAAAAAACTGACTTTATACGTCTACAGGTTTGGCTCTTGTTTGATAAATTTTATCTTTAAATAATGTCAAGGATACATACTAATTATCATTTTAGTTATGTACGACACTAAATACATTTTTTAAGGACTGTATAATCTGCTCATACACTGTAAAAATACATATCAATTATTAACTGAATTATATATCTATAAATGACAATAAACATTTTCTTGAGCCCATATATCATATCTCATCTTACGGTAGAAATATTGTGAAGAGCACAACATGTTGGTAAAATCAATATCCATCGTACACAACAAACCTCATTCAAATTTATCAAGGATGGAATAATACACTTGTATTTCTCATTGTCTACTGTTGTCATCCACAAGGAGCTAGTTCCTTCTCTATCCTACAAACAATATAAAGACAATCTGAAAACACATGGCTTAAATAAGCCTAACTGAGCTCTTACCTTAGAATTTGAAAATTAGTCTTTTTGACATTTTACATTTTAACAGTTCTAGCATTCTCTTTCAATAACTAGATATTATATGTGTACTTTGTGCAGATAATAATTACTTCTAAAAGAAAGAAAAACAGCTCTTAATAGTATTCATGTACATAACACATATAATACTTGTATTTTTCTTACCATTATATGATATACAGGATCAAAACACTTTGGTAGATCATTAAAAAACAAAAAGGAATCTTCTACAGCCATAGCACTTGAAAAGGATTAGAGGAAATTAATCTATAAGGCTTTTTCTCTTCTTATTAGCTATATTTTTGTGTGCCAGCAATACCAAGAGTGGAGGCCGCATATACCTGACTCAATTAAATTATTCATCAGGATCTCTACCAGCCTACCCTCAAATTTAAATTCTTTTAGGAAGGATTAGAATAATGTAATCTATGAGACCTTGGGTGTGGTCCAATATATCAATCGAAAGGGTTTGACCTCATGAATAAAAAACTGTAATTACATCTGAAATCAGTCAAGAGATGACGGAGCTATGAGCTAAAGCTTTGTGCTTAAAAAACTTGGAGCCATTCTATGAGCCGCTATACCATGGCTAAAACTGATGAAATCTTAGCACTTTTCAACACGTGGACCCTGTTTCCTTCAGTGGGTAAGAAAGTGTTAGTTTCATCATTAGCACTAGGGTTATAGCAAACATGGCTGTATTTTTTTTTGTTTCCCTATACTGGTCAAACAATGTTGGGCTCTTTTTTTTTAAATTCGTTTTCTAAGTATGATTAAAGAATAACAACTTATTACTATTTTTCAATGTATTCTGGCCTTGAACAGTTTTGAGAAAATACTGTTCCTCTATCATTTTCCAAAACCAGAAGCACTAAAATAGGACAAGTAAGAAGCATTTGTTAAAAACAAATGCTGCAAGCAACCAACATGTTACAATTTTGCTTCTGAATTGAACTACTTTAATCATTAAAAATGTTGATTTGGTGTTATATCAATTGGTGAAGCATGGTTCATTAACAATTTAAATCTTAGAAAATGAATCTGAAAATTACTGCATCAATAGGGTGACCAGATATCCCAGTTTTACCAGGACAATAGTAGTTTGTCTCAGTGTCGCAAAAAAAGTTCTCAGGATGCACAATACATCTTGGTTTTATGATAAAGATATCAAACTGTCAGCCACATCAAATCAATGTAATAGAACTACTCGGCTTGCTCATTGTTGTAACACATACTCTCCTGCTGCCAGACTCTCTCAAAAGTTCTGTCTGTGCATGATGAAAAACCCAGGTCTGAAAGTGGAGACAATTAATGCAGTGCTCATCATCAAAATACACCTTACAGTTATGCACTGAATTTAATGACTATTTAATAAAAAAAATAATAAAACTTTCATGTTAAATTCACTCTTCACAAAAAATATGCGTAAAAAGTTTCAAAGTAATGCTGAAATGTAAAAGTAGCATGTTGAAAATGTCATGGATCCTTAAATTAATCCAGGTATGAAGTAGCCTATTTTAAGATAAACTGGATAATTAAGGATATCCTTGGCTGTATAATTTGACTATTTTTGCTCATTTGTTTTGTGTCTATCGTCATAAAAGTAGTTGAAATTATTTCAAAAACAATGCCAATGTTAATATATTAGTAAATATTTTGGAACAGTTTAATAAATTTAAAGTAAATTAAATAAAACTTAAATTATTTCAAATTTGTAATACCCATTTTGAAATTAGGGGCAAAGGCTGGATTGTCCTGGTTTTTTGGTTTAGAAATCTGGTCACCCTATGCACCAATAAACAATGAATTACACTGATATGCATTAATAAAAACATTAGTAAAAGCACTAAATATGGTAAGAATACCATCAATTTACCAAATAATATCATAAAATTAAATCTTGACACCAGGCAAGCATAAAATAAAAGTGGATTTTGAAGGCACATTTTTTTTGGTGGAGGTGGGGAGATTCTTAACATATCTTCCTCTTACTAGTAACAAGACCACAAACTACATATCAAAATTTTTAATACATGTACAGAGTGACTATAAAGTTACTTTATTCATTGAACTGTTTATAACTCCCAAACCATTACACCAGTAATTAAAGTGTGCATACACACTGGGCCATGGAGAATGCACTTACAGAGTTTGCATTGTTTTTTTCATGATGGGGTTGTCACTTACACCATGTGATATCACCTCTTACATATCTTTTATCATGACAGAGGTGTCTGTCGAGGTTATTGTTGCATAGTTTCGTCCATAAGTTTGAGGAGTGACGATTCGTGACTGATGCACCACGATCAGGATGCCCACCCATGCCTGATGAAGTTATTGTAGAAATGTAACAGTCACCATTGCACATCAGGCAAGGTAGTCTCCAAGAAATATATATATAGCACCCATCAGGTCTACTAGCCAATCCCAGAAAACAAGATGATGAGCAAGGCACCAAAGTTCTTTTCATACATGAATGGAAGATTACAAGAACTTCTTCTAGCCAACCCAGAGAAGCAGTTGAATTTACATTTGATTTACCAGCAGTGTCACCATCTGGTCTTATGTTTTTGAAGAGCTCACAGATCATGTTTTATGAACCAATACTTGGTGCACATTATCAACATGTTAGCTAACAGGGCATTACCCACCTTGCATGAGAGGCATGCAGCAGGACACTGTGTTCGTGCAAGATGGTGTATCATCACCACATTGCCACTGCTGCGAAGAACCGGCTATGCAGTGCTTTCAGTGCATGAATCATCAGTATGGACTTTCCCACACATTTTGATCACAAGATCTAATACACGTGGTTTTCTGGCTACAGGACGAAGTGAAAGTATTGGTGTACCACAACAGTCCAAGGAATTCAATCCCACATTCTTACCACTCAGAGTCGTCAGTTTCATACATCTGTGCAACATGTGTGACCACATCTCACAGTCTGGAAGGTGTTCCTAAGAGAATGATGGCATGCATTGTGACATTTATTGTAATGAGTTAAACCAATTTAGAAAAATTTTATATTCCTTTTTTTTTCTTGTTTTATAATGTTACAGTTACATCTAGATTTCAGATAAATTTTAAAATATGACAAGGTAATTTCAATATGATGTCCAACGATCGCATGTATGCACAAAAATCTGTTAGCACGTGCTATAGTTTTGAGTTATAAGCAATGGAATGGATGTAACAGCTTAAGTCATCCTGCATAGAGCTGGCTATTGGTGGGATTTGATAATGAAGTAATCACTGGGTTCATTAATCAATTATATTTAACTAACACATTATTCTTACTAGACTTGGATAGTTGGGATACTTGAAAATAGTACAAAAAATAAAAGGAAAAACCAATTTTGAATAAGTTGTTACTTTATGTGGTTTTAATCGACTTCACCAACATTCAGATTAATTGATTATTTTATGTGACAGTGATGAATCCTCAGAGGTAATTGATTATATCAATAAATGATCAGTTAAAATCACTAATCAACATTTCACCTATAAACAACTGATCATTTTATTATGTTCCATAAAATTTATATATATTTTTTAACAGATGGCTTGTTGTAGCCATTTTATGAATTACGTGGAAAACTATAAAAGCAATCCAAAAGCCCAAGTGGACAAATCACTGAAAAAGTGCTTTTCCGACAAATAAAAAATGATAGCTTTTCAAAAGTTTTGCAAGCTTTTTACCATCTTTAATGATTAATCTTTTTAATGAGTTTTTAGCAGTACTGTTTTTCAAACTGTGAATTTTATCGATAAAACAAAAATATGTGGCTAAATAAATATATCTATATGAATTAAGAGGTGCCATACAATAAAATACATATTTGCTTACTTTTTGTTCTTGCTCAGGCTGTTTTGGTGTGGGTTCAAAGCCAGATGAATATTTGGAGTCACGGAGTTCACCAGGCCAATTGATTCGGAACAAAATATTGTCGTCAAGTTCTGTAAAAAAACTGCCAGCTCCTGTTTTACCCAGAAGGCATGAAGTAAAAACTAAAATCCAGTGCTTGGCTATGAAAATATGGAATTGAAATTCTTGCATTTTTCAAACTGCTAGATGTTCACTTGGAAGAAAAATATGAGAAAATTAAAAGGTGTCTTGACAAAGAAAATTACAGGTAAGGGTAGTAATGAATGTCAATACATATTAAATACTCTTAGAGATTATTCTCAAGGCAATAATCTTTGCTAATATGTAAAATTCCATTACACAACACCTTCACAGATGTCCATTATTGAAAGATGGTTTAGGATAATAATTTGCAAGTCCTAAATAAAGGCAACATAACTTTTCCAGCTGTTTCTTACTAAGGAAGTCTTGTGTATGAGACTATGAAGGAGAAAAAAGTGTATTTTCATTTTATGTAAAAAAAAACATGTCTAAGAGCATGTTTTAGTCTTGATATATAACTGTATTATATGTAATCCAGGAAGTTTTCATTTAGTACTTATTTATAAATAATCTATCCAGGTGGATAGGTTGAGGTCAGGAAAGGTCAACAAAGAGAAATTTATAAAAATCCTTTTTGATAATTTGAGAAATATATAGATGCAACAATATGGTAAATGCTAGAGTGAACAAAATGTCTGAGCTAACTAATAAAACTGTTAGAGTTCTGTCACATCAGTTTTGTTGACACTGTTCATTTCACAATTTCAACTGACCATATCTAGGAATTACAAAAATACTGATACTGTTACATTCTACTTCAAAGCCACAGAAGGGCAAACCTATTTAGGAGATTAAACAACTAAGAATTTGTTTTAACCACTGCCATTATCCAGCTCACCTACGTAACTGACTTTAATCCCTCAAATTGACCATTTCAATACATTCAATAAACCCTCATATGAACAATACTTTTCTAAGACCTTGTGACTGTGGTTTTAGGCAGCAAATATGAAGAATAAACTCCAACACTTAGCTACATAAAACTGAATACTTTATGTTATAATGACTGGTTATTAATTTTTCCCTCTTGCATCTAGAGAAAAAATACTTTATAGGTTTGATTTGCATTTAGAAGAGCAAAATAAAATCAGCCTTTTCTGCTTTTAAGTAACAGATTATATTACTTGTGTGCTTTTTACTTTTACTAATTATAAAACAAAGCTACATTAAATAATTCTATTGACTCGTATTATACAGACACAATGTTTCATACATCATGACTTCAGCTGCTGAACATTAAACAAATGAGATGGAGTAAAAAAAAAAACAAAAACTTGATTTTGTCAATTTCATTTTGAGGACTTGAAAAATTTACAAACTATACGAACTATGCAGTTGGAAGCCTAGGTTTCTGGCTAGCCTAAAAAAAAAAGAGTTTGAAACAGGCTTTACATCAATAATGAAGTTTCTTAACTAAAAGGATATCAAGGTTTTATGGGAACAGCAACACATAATAGCAAGTACACAACATTAATAATGGATGTGACTACTCTTGTTCTCAGGAAGTAAATAAAAAACATGACTTCCTTCTGGGTTTATGTCAATGCTAACTCTGATGTCTACTATCAATAAACATACACCACCTTGTGGCTTCCAACAAAAATATGTTGTAATAAAGTGTTAATGTATATTCTACTACATGTAGTGTTTAGTCATGTATTATTGCTAAAAAATTACTACCTTTGATGAACTTATTGCAAGTTTTAATTTTTTATTATCCAAATCATACCTGGGCATTTTTCACATGGAGTACCAGGTTCCAGACTTTCTACTCATGTTGAGCTCTAGTTTATTACTGCACTGATTTTGTAGCAATTAATTAAAAGTTAATGAAATAAGTTTTTAGAAACATCTTTAGACATACTGGATTGGAATTTATTTCAGATCCAGCTGAGTTTTTGCTAGTCAGGTCCATCTTAAGCTGTTGATAACAATAATTATTCATGTATAAATATAAAGAAAATAAGGGCACTAAGGTTTCTGTTGGTCCATCTGAACTGTCCTATCCACTAAACTGTGCATGTGACTTGGGGCCAAAATGTGGGAGTAGGGGGAGGGGGCAAAAAAGTCTGACTTATTGTGAATGTTGTGTGTATACTATATCCCACAGTTCATTCTTGCCTCCTCCCACAATAATCCTGCCTATGCACAAAAAAGAAACTCAAAGCCAGCTTTATAATTCAAATATTTATCAATCTTCCCATAAGCTTCCTTATATTCACTGCATCAAACACATCTGAAGGCAACTCATTCCAAAGGCCAACTACTCTGTTAGAAAAATAAAACTGTTTTTTGATGAAGATGGCTTCTACCATGTCAAACATTTATATTTTTGTCTCCTAGTCCTGCAATTCCCATCGTTAAGTATGAAAAAAAAAAAGATGCATTGACACTATCAATTCCCTTAACAATCTTAAACACCTCAACCAGATCCCCTCCAAATCTTCTTTTGAGAGAAAATAATTTAAGATATCTTAATCTGTCCTTGTATGACAACCTCTCCATACTAGGTATCATCCTAACAGCCCTTCTCTGAACCCTTTCCAACAGTTCAATGTTTTTCCTGAGGTAAAGAGCCTAAGACTGAACAGTATATATGGATTAATCAATGACCTATACAATGAAATTATTGCCTCTTTAGACTTGTATCCAATATTTCTGTAGATACAACCTACCAATAGTAACAGCTCTGCTTAGATAGCTTAACAGACTAATGAACTAGAAAACATAAATCCCTTTATTCCATAACACTATTAAAGTTATTGCCACTAAAATAACAAATTTTTTAAGTTTACATAGTTTATAAAATGAAAGATTTAAAAAAATCATTCTTGAAAATATTTTTCAATTATTCTTATTTTACCTCTTATAAAGCTTTGATAAAACAAAGTGCAAATAATTAAATGGTCAACCTATAAAATTGGACAAAAATAAGTCTGGTTTTACTTTAAATTTCATCTCAGAATAAAGCATCATTGAACAAAGTAATATAACTTTGTGAGATTTGTTTCACCATACTCTTTCTGTGAGCTTGTTCTAGTCATAACTTTTTAACTGCTTTAGATATCTGAAACTTTATAAAATACTATTTTGTCCCACAGTTAATCAGTTTACCTGTGTCAAAATTATACACCAACAGATGTAACACAAACAGAATTGCCACTCAACATCAGAAAACAACTAATATTAAGATCTAATACTGAAACCCAGTTTTAAGTTATAAGCCTTCAGATTTACTGCTGAACCACTGGGGGCATAATATATTATGTAGGTTAGTTGAGTTTGTTGCTCAGCTCTAGCATGTAAGAATAGAGTTAGCTAGTTTTATCTTACATCCTTAAGTAAATAATGATTATTTAACCTTTGCTTATTATACTGAGGTACCACTCACTTAGTTTTCTCTACCATAAATATTACAGTTTGTCACACTGTATTCCATTTCACTATCTCATGTGTTTAATACTACTATTATATTGCAAACTTGCTGACCTAAGGCAGGATGATGGTGGTGGTCACCCTTCATTTCACAATCAAAGAAATTGTCAAATGCTAAGTTTCACATTTTGTTAAACTATGATATGTCTACCTCGTGAACCAAATTTTTAGACTACCTCTATAAAAAACAAGTTTCACATGGAACATTAAAATATTTTATAACCAACTATAACTTTCTTTCATGTGATATCAGATTAAAAAGAAATAGGATGATAATACTACAAAAACTATCAAACTGTACTTTCTTCATCAGTTCTTGTGTAACAGTAAAAGTCAACTTATTTAATAAACTTACTGGAAATCCTACACTGTTGGTCAAGAAAGACTTACTGTATGTCTAATTTTCCTAAAGAAAGACTACAATGTCCTAATACAATTAGTAAAATAATAAATAAAGTTGGAATAAGGATTCATAGTCAAACATCAAACTAGTACTAATAATAACATATGTAGCTATCAGTAACAAGACAATATGTTAAAAAGTGTCAAATTGATGAAACAATGTATTTTGATATTTATAAGTAAAAATATTTAATTAGCTGTACTCATTACCACTACCAAGTGATTTTTAGTTTTGTCTTAGTCTAGTAGGTCACCTGCTTTGATAATAAGTTAACAATAATATTATTATATATTATTAGTAGTAGTAGTCTTGAAAACTGAGCATTCCTGTTGCTCTATTATGACCAATTTAAAAATACTTTAGGTTTATTTTAAGAAGCTTCAGCATAAATACAATTCAATCTTACTTCAGAACAGTCTTCTAAATAGCAACGATAATTTTTTACAATACAATACCTACAACAGGAATAAAAACTTGATGTTCCTGAGAAAGGCCTCTAATTCTAAATTAGCGAGTATATATATCAGTATATGATCAAAAATGCAACAGATGATGGAATACTCCAAGAAGTTACAATAATACCAGTAATAACTTATAATATAATTATAAGCAATAATATTATATAATAGATTAGTAGTAATACTACTTTCAACTTACTTAATGATTTATCAATGTCACTCAGTCAGTGTTAATCGAACGAGTCAAAGTGGGAGAAAATTAACATAGATAACCATATTTAAATTTCACAGTTTAACTGATTTTTTTTTTTTTCGCTTAGGATATTTATTTATATTAAACAAAAGCAGTATATAAAACACATTTCAAATGAACTAAGATCAGAATGTAAGCTACACTACAGTATAATTCATATTACTCTAGTCATTTTCGGATTGGGCCACTTGTCACTCTACTACTTTTCCCGAAAAACTCCACGTTCCTTCCAAATCAACAAGCTATAAAAAAAACTTCGTTGGTATCGCAGCCATCTGCTTACGAGATTGATATCTAAACAAAAAAAGTCCGATCAAAATAAATTATGTACTTAGAGCGAAACTCATAATCAATCTGCCCATCAATTTGTCTAATTATTTGTAATTAAATATAATTTTATTACGTTTCTACTTATTTTCATTACCATTATTGGTCATAATGTTTAATATACTTATTATTATTATTGGTTTTATTATATTTAGAAATATATTTTACAATATGAATTTATTGTTACGTCTCCGTTCGTTAGTTAATTTTTCGTAACTTCGTTCCGACGAAACTTTAGTGACACAAGTTCTTTCTTAAATAAAACTGCTTTATTCTTTCCGAATACAACTTTATGATACACTTAATTTCAACAGTCGCTCTATAACAAACGCTATAACTCACGAGCTCGACTTCAACAATACTCCGTTCAATTACACACTCTCTGACTGCAGTTCAATTACTCATTATCTACACATTGTCCCGTCACGTTGTGACCATCTTATATATACCAGACTACCCCAATCTAGTAATCTCCCGACAATTCACGAAGGTTCGAGAAAGAAGTGGCGTGATACTAGTCACGTGACTTCGCTGACGCAACATTATTATATAGAATTACGACTTGAATCTTGTTTGTTTGTTTTGAATTTCGCCCAAAGCTACACGTGGGCTATCTGCGCTAGCCGTTCCTAATTTTGCAGTGTAAGACTAGAGGGAAGGCTACTCTTGGGCTACTCTTTTGCCAACGAATAGTGGGATTGATCATCACATTATTACGCCTTCACGACTGAAAGGGAGAGCATGTTTGGTGGGATTCGAACCCGCGACCCGCAGATTGCGAGTCGAGCGCCCTAACCACCTGGCCATGCTGGGCGACTTGAATTTTCTAAGCTGGTCAAGCCTATTGGGATATGATTGGGATTATGCCTGAAAATGTCGTTAATATTGGTGCATTTGCAGCATTTTGAGGCATTTCATGCTATTTTCAAATGCTTCAAGGAATACAAAATACAATTTGAAAAAACTACATATATAACATCCATACATGCAATATGAAGAAAAGTTGTGCACATTTAGTGAATGCATATGAGAAGTTATACAAAGACGCTTGACCATAATATGAGCTATGATGCATTCCAGACAGTATTGGGAACCCATTGTTTATCTTATCTACATAAACAGACTCAATTGTAGCAGAGAGAAAGCTACGAGAAAGTATATGTTAACTTAGAAAGGAAATCAGAGACTCTTGGCGGAACTTTGATCGGAAGGAAGACGAGAAGAAATACATGAAAATAAGTGGCCAACTTACAACTTTTAGCTATAACCCAAAAACAGTTAGATTTGGTTTGATAACACAGTGAATATCAGCCAATCATCTTAATGATCTATTTGCAAGAACAGTATGTAGGGCTAATTGAATGCTCGTAGAAATACTAAAAAACGAGTATAAAAAAGTCCAGTTTTTCGCCAAAAATCAGTCTCTTGTCTCGTATCAAGAAGTTAACAAACCTGTTGCTGATGATTTCTGGCCTGACTTCTCCAGCTGCTCCAGCACTTATAAAGATGGCCATTTTGAAGAACATAGAATCTTTTTCCAAGCTCCAGGTAAGTAACTATTGCTATCTCTCTCAATCGAATAGCTCAGTTAGGAATGAATGTAAATTGCTAATATTTTGACTTTTTGTCAGTACACACCAACAAACCACAGCAAGTAAGAAAAACTGACATTTGATAGTAACCAACATTAGTTTTAAGATCGCTACCCTATTATTCGGAACAGACCTATACTTTACAGAACCAACCAAATTCTTTCAAATATATGGTGGTAGTTTCCCTCTCTAAAACAGTGTTAATAGCTTCCTTTATAATAACGCCACGGAGTTTAGATTAACAGTTTCTTGTCATCATCCGTATGCACTCGGTACAGCCGTATCAAGCATTATTATTGTTGCGTCATCGAGATCATGTGATTCTCACGCTCTCTACTTTCTAGAACTATCCCGTACTTTGGCGAATGCTCTAGTATTTACTAGATATAGGGTAGTCGGGTATATATAAGAGGGGGACAACGTGACGCAATAATGTAATGTGTGTGTGAAGATAGTGAGTAATTGAACTGCAGTCAGAAGTATTATTGACGTTCGTTGTTATAGCGTTTGTTTAGCGCGATTGTTGAAGTTGAGTGTATCGGTAAAGTTATATTCGGAAAGAATAAACCAGTTTTATTAAGTAAAGACTTGTGTCGTTAAAATTTCGTCGGAACGAAGTTACGGAAAAATCAATTAACAAACGGAGACGTAACATTATTTATGCTAACTGTATAAGCTAATATCACGTGACGCTAAGCACTCTTTAATTGGGATAATTTCATAAAAGTTTGCAAATTTTTGCTTAAAAGTTGGCAAAGAATAACGAATAATAACTGTTCACCCATATGACTCTTTTGAAAACTTGAGCTAAAACTGCTAATCTAGTTTGCTTCGCCTAACTAATACTTAGGTATCTAGACGTATTTTCTCTCTATAGTTTTACTGCTCTAAATCAATTATCTTTAACCCCAATGACAAAAAAAAAAGGTTCACTTTTACTTTTATACTTTTAGGTAAAGCTGTAGTAAATATTTTAAACCTATAGCTCACGTGACATTTTGGGTAAGCGTGCGCAAAATATCGGTCAAATTTGAGCACTTTTTGTTAAATAACTTTGCATATGTGGCTTATATTTAGACTAAATTTGACACTTGATTTTAGGCTGTAAAGATATATCAATGTACCAAATTTGAAGATAAAAATCCATAAAAGTTAAGGAAGGTTTTCTATCAAACAAAGTATCGGTACTTCAAATTCGATGACGAGGAACCCACTTTAAGACTAATAATGGGTAATGAAGAAAAACTTTATGATGACAAAACCTTGTTGAAACGTTGTACATTTGCT